GCGCTCAGCCTTCCTCATGGTTCAACTTTCACAGCCATACATTGCAACTGGGGAAACCATAAATCTTGACTAGACACACTTTTGTTGGCAGGGTGATGTCTCTGCTTTTTAGTATGCTGTCTAGATTTTCCATAGCTTTCCTCCCCAGGAGCAAGCGTCTTTTAATTTCTTGGCTGCGATTTTTTTTTGTTACGGTTTTTTTTTAAATAAATTTTTGTTATGATCCTTTTTTTAAAGTCGACACCAGGAGGCAGCAGATATCCACAGCATGAAGAACAGATCACAATTGCTGGCTATTTTCTCAAGGTAACCTGGCTGGGCTATCTGTGCAACAGGAAGAACAGGTGTAACAAGCCACACCTGAAATGCACAGCAAATATACTGTAATATTAGCATTGCAGAATATTTTGCAACAAGCTTTTGACTGAAAAACATTTTCCAAAGAGTCTGTTTGGACACTGCTTCAGGCACTTTTTAGTATTTCACGTACTTACTATTTTAATGTCTTGTACTTTAGCTTTACACCATTGTAAGCCAGAGTTGCCTGGCCGTGAGATGGGCGGTATATACATTTTATAAATGAATGAATTAAATAATAAATGTTGGGGCAAGTTACTCTCACCCCATCATTTTTTCATTTTTTAATGCTATTTCATGCATTGCTTGGAGCTGCTTTTCATCTGGGAACCTGATCTTAAAAAGTTAAGCAAATGAAATGTATCTTAAATAATATTCTATTACATGTAAAGTGGCTCAGAAATTTCCAGAATTGTACCTCCTGTGAGGTAAAATAAAAGGTGAAAAATTATAATTCAGGGCAAGACTCAACAGTTTTCTTTCAATAAGAATCTATGGAGATTCTCAGACATCCAGTCATGGTTGTCCCAAAGGGTTAAAGGCAACTGGACTGTCTGGTTTTTCTTTGAAGAGGTTTCACTTCTCATCCAGGAAGCTTCTTCAGCTCCGAGAACCTTTGTTTCAATAAGGATGTTTAATATGCCGGATCAGATGGGTTGATAGGTTGCAACATATGTAAATCTGTGTCGATGTGTTTACAAACTGCAATGACTTTGTTTGCAAGGCACATTAAAGCCGGATCAAACAAATTGCATTATGGCTTTGCCACAAGGAGTGAAATTGCCATATGCCTACCAGCACACAACTGCACCAGAGGTGATATTCAGCAGGTTCTGACCAGTCCTGGAGAACCGATAGTGGAAATTTTGAGTAATTCGAAGAACCAGTAAATACCACCTCTGGCTGGCCCTGCCCCAATCTATTCTCTATCTCCCGAGTCCAGCTGATTGGAAGGGAATGTTGATTTTGCAGTAACCTTGCCCTGGAGTGGCCCACCAAGCCACGCCCACAGAACCAGTAGTAAAAAAATGTTGAATCCCACCACTGAACTGCATTTTGTAAAAGTTGTTTAATCCTATGAAGCGGTATATAAGTCTAACTGCTATTGCTATTGCTATTGCTATCCTAGTATTCCTCACAGGTGATAAGATGACTTGCCTGCCAGTCCTTCACGTAAAAATCTTCTTCCTAGCACAGTGTTGGTGAAACTTTTTGGCACCGACTGCCAAAATGGGAGGGCCCACATGTGCATGTGCCAAAAACCAGAAGTTCAACCGCCCAGTGTGCATGTGCGTGCTGGGAAGATGATCCTCCGGTTCACAGCATGTGCACCGCCAGTTTGTCTTCGCACGTGCGTGCATGCCAGAAACCAGAAGACCAGGTAGCCGCGCATGCATGCACCAGGAATGGGAAGATCATCTTCCCAGCACGCGCATGCGCACCGGGCAGCTGCTCTTCTGGTTTCTGCTCCCATGCACCTGAAGACCAGCGGGGAGGTGCACTGGAACCTGGAAGAGCAACGGTTGATGGCTCTGTGTGACACTTCCAGCACATGTGCCATAGATTCCCCATCACAGTCCTAGCGTATTCCCGCAGGTGCAGGGTCTGCTTTTTGGATCATTGAATGCTAGTTTGCATAGTCAGCTGTGTCTCCAGGGTGCAGGCCCGTGACTTGCTTCTCTTGGTTGATGATATCTTGCCATCTCTGTTTTCGATGCCTCCAAGGTCACCAGCCATTGATGTCCAGTTGGTAGACAGTCTTGGCCACAGTGGAAGGTGCTGCTCTCAGGACAGATCCATTCCAGCGGAGTCGGCCTTCTCTCATCTTCCCTATAATTGGTGTCACAGCAAAATGTTGTCGAATGTGTCATTTGTGATGTAGTCAAGAAGGGAGATGTCCGATATCCAACGGAGCATTCACATTTCCATGGCATGGAGAGCTTTTGGTCCCTGTTGTTGCTGCCCAGCATTCAGTGCCACACAGAGCAACAAGGTGGATGGTTGTCATATAAATCTTAGATTTAATCCTTCATGTCAGAATGCACATTCCTATCTCAAACAGGATCCATACCTTTGCGTGGGTGGAGAAGTACAGTACTCCTTGACTTACTACCACAATCAAGTCCAAAATTTCTGATGCCAAGCAAGACATTTGTTAGCTGAGTTTTGCCTTGTTTTATGACCTTTCTGGCCACAGTTGTTAAGTGAATACCTGCTGCTGTTAAGTAGCATGGATGTTAAGTGAATCTGGCAATAGTATTTTGGTTTCTTTTTCCCTTAATATTCAACCAGATACTTTCAGCAAAGTTTTCATCCTTGGGATCATGAAGGAGAACACACAAGAGGTATTGTTCAATCAATCAATCGGAATAGAGCTGGAAGAGAACTTGGAGGACCAAGACCAACCCCCTGCTCAAGCATGAAAACCTATACCATTTCAGACAAGTTCCTGTCCTGTCACTTCTTAAAAACATCCAGTGATGAAACGCCCATGATTTCTGGGGGCAAGATGTTCCACTGGTTAATTGCTCTCACTGTTAGGAAATTTCTCCTTAATTCCAAGTTGCTTCTCTCTTTGATTAGTTTCCATCCATTGTTTCTTTTCTTGGTCTTGGTCTTGGTCTTGGTCTTGGTCTTGGTCTTGGTCTTGGTCTTGGTCTTGGTCTTGGTCTTGGTCTTGGTCTTGTCTGGTGGTTTGGAAAATGGGTTGACCCCCTCCTCTTTGTAGAGTCCCTCAGATATTGGAAGACAGCTATCGTGTCATCCCCAGTCCTTCTTTTCTCTAGACTAGCTGAACCCAAATCCTGCAACCATTCTTCATATGTTTCAGTCTCCAGGCTTTTAATCATCTTAGTTGCTCTTCATTGCACTTGTTCCAAAGTCTCAACATCTTTTCTGGAAGGTGATGACCAAAACTGGGTGCAGTTATTCCAGTGTTACTAAGGCTTTATAAATTGGTACTAATACTTCCCGTGATTTTGATTCTATGCCTCTGTTTGACAGTGTTAGATTAAAACCGGGGAGATGGAGTCAAAGTGAAGCTTTCTTTCAATCAAACTCAACTCCTGGTGATGACTATTGGGTTTTTCCAGGATTTTAATTCCAATTCCACAGCTAGAATCCTGGAATTTTCTGCTGGGGGTCTCCAATCCTGTTTAACTTTTTGAGATGAACAAAGGTCAGCCAGAGACTGTCCTCTAGTTAGGCAAAACTGGGAAGATCCGAGTTAAAAATCTCAGCTCCCAGGAGTTATTAGAAAACCACGTCATGCACAAAAATAAAGAGAGAAATAGTGGGAAGTGAAAAACAAAAATCTGGGGAGGTTTATCTAGAAAATCTATCAAAAAGTGAGAGAAAAGATCCAGAAGAAAAGAAATAATACATATAAAAAGAAGAAAAAGAGGGTGAGGTAGACTAGGAACAGGGGATTAGTAAAATAAAATGAAATATGATAATCATGGTAGTGGTATGTAGCTAATTAAGATGTGACTGAACTATACTAATATTATTACCATATTTTTCGGAGTATAAGATGCACCGGAGTATAAGACGCACCAAGGTTTGGAAGAGGCAAATTAAAAAGAAGTTTTTGCACTCTGCAAACTGCCCAAAAATGGCCCATTTTTTGCAAAAACAGGCCCGTCCCCCACCCACAAAAAAGGGCATGAATAGTCCTTAGGAGGCTTGGAGAGTGTTCCTGGGGGAGGCAAAAATGAGCAAAAACAGTCCATTTTTCCCTCATTTCTGTCCTCCCCAGGCCCCAGGAGCACTCTGGAAGCCTCCTAAAGGCTATGGAAGGCCATTTTGGTGAAGGGGGTGGGGTTTCAGGAGGCAAAAAATACTGTATTCAGTGTTTAAGACGCACCCAGATTTTCAGCCTCTTTTTTGGAAAAGAGGCTGAAAAAGGTGCATCTTATACTCTGAAAAATACAGTAACTGTTCAAATGATTAAGTAAAATGTTCATTATATGCAATACTGAATTTGAAGATATATGTTACTTATAAAAAATACATGGAAATGAAATGATAAATTTGGTTTATTTCTAAAGGGATAAAAATGAAATGCTTTATGTATATTATTATTTTTTTAAAGTTGGGAAAATATGGGAAGAAAACAATACGGCTAAAATGGGAAATGGAAATATAATATAAAATGAATTACGAATATGTGAAAATGTTAAAGGGGGGAAACTAGACAGCACTCTGTTTACAAAAGAATTATAAATATGCAACAAAAAAACTTTGTTTAAAGAAGAAAACCATGGGATGCTTTTCTCTGTGTAGCTCATATTATTGTTAATTTTTAAGTCTGGAACTTCCACTGTTGATGATCTCTTGGCTGTCACTTTTCAAAGAATTCAGCTTCTGCTTTCAGTTTTAAAATCTAAGACACATCTCCATTTTCTTTCACAATAACTACATAACTGTGTGGTTTTAGTCTCTCAAAAATAGGAAAACCAAGACTCAGCAATCGCAAAGGATGTGAAATTGTGATTGAAGATCTCTCAGTGTTCGGAGTATATAGAGAGAGTTGGGGCATTTCTGTCATCTTATACTTGAACGAAAAGGACAGCCCTCTTGCTGCTCCAGATGTAGAGGACTATAGGCACCCTGAATAGCAAACTGGATTAATCCAGATCCAAATGACTCCACCTACAGAAATCGATGATCACCTTCCAATGTCAGTCGCAAAGATTTTCATCTGTTCCATCCTGGGTTTTTCCTTTGTCCTTGGAATCCCTGGGAATTCTTTGGTCATCTGGACCATTTGTGGACGAATGAAGAAAAGGCCTCCAACTGTTGTGCTCATCCTACACCTGGCCGTAGCTGATCTCCTGATTCTTCTGACCCTGCCAGTCTGGATCTATTCTTTTGTCAACCACTGGCTCTTTGGGATCGGCACCTGCAAAGGTCTGGTGTTCCTTATTTACTGCAGCTTGTACGCCAGCATCTTCTTCATCACATGCCTCAGTCTTGAGCGGTATCTGGCTGTCAGTCATCCCTTTGTCCTTCAACGATGGAAGAAGACAATGGTCATCCACCTGGTGGTGGCCATGATCTGGTTCTTCTCTGTCGTCCTTGGATCAACCATCATTCCATTTCAGACCATCGATGACACTGTGGCAGGCTCTCAGTGTGTGACACGTGAGTATGCCTCTCATTCTCAAGAGGTCATCCATTTGTTGTCCGAGACCATTTTGGGTTTCGTAGTTCCCTTCTTCATCATCTGCACCTGCTACATCTCTGTGGGCAAAAGAATTTGTGGCATGGCTTCTCCTTCCAAGCAACACTCCGCCAAGTTGATCACATCGGTGGTAGTGATTTTTTGTCTCTGTTGGTTCCCTCACCATTTCTTCAACCTCTTAACGGTCATCTCCGTCCTGCTGCAGGATTCAAATTCAGAGGCCTCGGAAACGTTGGAGAAAATTTCAGAGGCGGGAGCCTGGATCGCAGGCACAATTGCATTTATTAGCAGCTGCATCAACCCGCTCCTCTACGCTTTTGCTGCCAGGAACATCCGAAGCAGTGCCAAGTTTACAAAGTTGTTGAAACTCTTTGAACAAGTGGGCCCTTGGGAAAAGCAGGCGTCCAACCTGGAAATGCCTCCTCCAGATAAAAAGGAGGAAAGTTGGATAAGTGCCAACATTGGGGAAAGCGAGTCTACTCCAGTCTCCTCGGTCTAAAGCAACGACTATTCCTAAATTTTAGATACTGTGCTTGGCTTTTGATGAGTTTTTATCAACTTTCTAAATCAGCTTTCCCCAACATTTCTGGGTGGGTGGCCCAGTTGGGACAGGTAGCGGGAGAAGAGGGGATAATTTTGTGGGAGGGGCACTATGAGTGCAAAATGGGGTTGTGAGGGTCAGCGCCCACCACTCACACCATCTGGTTGTAAATAGGCCACGGCCCACAGGCTGGGGATACCTGATCTAAATCATAACCAGGTTTGTTAATATAAAAACTTCCATATTTTTCTAGACACCGTTCTATAGTCAGGGGTGGGCTTCAAATATTTTAGCAAGGGGTTATCTGCCTGGTTGCTGGGTGGGCATGACCACATGTGCCTCCTACACCCCAGAGGGGGTAGTTTTTGCCCTCCCTGGGCTCCAGAGGCTTTCCTTGAGTCTTCAGGAGGATGAAAATGGCCTCCCCAAGCTCTGGAGACCCTCTTCCCGAACTTGCGGTAGGCCCATTTTTTGCCCTCCCTGAGTTCCGTGTATGCCCTGTATTTATCTGCATCCAAAACAGGCTGTGTGGGGACTCCTGGAAGGGGAGGGGTGGGCAGGGCCAGCCAGGAGTGGATTTGGGGATTCTCTGAACTGCACAGAATCTTAGCTCGAGCTTCTCCCGAACCCCTGCAAACTCCCAGCAGCCCAGGCTTGTCTATAGTTGTATGCAACTTTTGTGCAGTTTCATGTAGTACACAGTTCCAAACTGGCTAGGTTTTAGATGTTCAGAAATGAGGGACCAGAAGCACGCACCCCAAGTGATTGGTGTCACACTTGTATGAAGCCACTTGTGAATGTTATGTAATATAATTATATTATAAGGAGACATTTTCTGACCGCTAGATCAATCAACCCATGGAACAGAAGTTGCCTTCAGAAGTAGTGGGAGCTTCATCTCTGGAAACTTTTAAGAAGAGACTGGACTGCCATCTGTCAGAAATGGTGTAAGGTCTCCTGCTTAGGTGGAGGGTTGGACAAGATGACCTACAAGGTCCCTTCCCACTCTGTTAATCTGTTATTCAAAGAGAGAAGCAACATGAAATTAAGGAGAAATTTTCTGACAGTGAGAACAATCAACCCATGGAACAAAAGTTGCCTTCGGAAGTTGTGGGAGCTTCATCACTGGAAGCTTTCAAGAAGAGACTGGGTTGCCATCTGTCAGAAATGGTGTATGGTCTCCTGCTTGAGCGGATGGGTGGGTGGGGGTGGACTAGATGACCTACAAGGTCTGTTCCAATTCTGTTAATCTGTTAAATGCACTCTGGCTTTATCACTCCACACTTGGACGGTGATCTTATTCAGACTAATAAAAGTAGGAACTTCTTTAAAGATTATTTTTCTAAGGAGGATCAGTGATGGATTATTGGCTGTGATTCTTGACCATATCAGGATAGTTTCTCCACTCCAGTGTTTCCTGTTTTGGATTCAATTTCACAAGTGCTGGAGAAATCAAATCTTTGCTCAGTATTCCATGTTCTGCTGATTTTTTTTTGGTATTGGTTCTAATGAAGATCATTGGTCAGCTGGTAATTGGTCAGTACATCTCTTAATCTGCTTTTTTGTACAAAAGGGGGTATAGACAAATGGAGTGTGAACTAATTAGATGTTTTGGCATCTATTTTTCTATTTTTACTTGAGAAATTCAATAAATAAAACATGAGTTTTGAGGCTGAGTTTAATTGTCCTGGAAGGACAATTTATAGGTACAAAAAAACCAGAACAAAATCAGTAGCATCGTAGAAAGGCAGAAAGTAAGTTGAAAAGATGGATTCTCACCAGTTGGCTGAACTCGGCTCTCACTAGAATCGAAACTATAATTTAATGTACAGAAACATTCCCTTTTCAATCTCTATTTTTCAACAATAGAACCCTTGGAAGTTAGCAAACTCAGAGGAATTATCTGTAGAGATTCTCAGCCATCCAGGTCATGGTTGTCCCAAAGGTGCTTTTTCAGGAGACAACTGGACTTTCTGGGTTTTTTCCCCCTTTTGAAGATGTTTCGCTGCTCATCCCAGAAGCTTCTTCAGCTCTGACAGGTTAGTGGGGAATGGAAGGATTTATACTCCTTGCAGAGAGCTGGTCATTTGCATCCTTTTGTAAGTCCAGTTGCCTCCTGAAAAAAGCACCTTTGGGACAACCATGACCTGGAGGAGTGAGACTCTCTACAGACGTTTAGCCATACAATTTGGGATGAACACCCCTGGAATGGTGTGGGAGTACGAATGGCTTTCCAGAGGGAAAAAATTGCAGACTGTAGGAACCAGGAGCACCACTCAGGTGACCCTGAGGACACAGACAAACCTCCAAGTGGCATCAATGACCCTCTAAAAGGATGCAAATGACCAGCTGTTGTTAGGTGAATTTTTGCCCCATTTTAAGATCATTTTTGCCATAATTGTTAAGTGAATCACTATAGTTGTTAAGTTAGTCACACGGTTGTTAAGTGAATCTGGTTTCCACAATTGACTTCGCTTGTCAGAAGGTTGCAAAAGGGGATCACATGACCCCAGGACACCGCAATCGTCATAAATATGTCACCGCAACTGTCATAAATATGAGTCATTCACAATATGAATTGTGATCACGTGAGCATGGGGATGCTGTAGGGGGTCATATGTGTGAAAAATGCTCATAAGTCACTTTTTCAGTGCCATTTTCACTTCAAATGGTCATTAAAGTCAAGAACTAATTGAACTTTTACTTTCACATTGAGTTCATCATGCAGTCTTCCAAGCAACAATTGAAGAAGTGATTTTCACTGTCTTCTTTAAATAAGTTTCGTTTGTTTTGATTTTTTAAAACTTCTCAGTTTAGCAAGTTTCCAGTCTTACTTATCTTTTTCAAGGTCAGTGAGGTTGAACCAGTTTAACTGGTCCCCTTTGGAAAAAATGCTCAATGAATGTAGGGGTATGTTTTCCTTAAACCTCCTTACAGGGTCAAAGTTTGGAAGTTGTCCACTTATATCTCAGTGAGTGTCCCAGAAGAAAATGTTTGCCTGGATTTAAGGTTGGTAAAATATTTTCCACTGATTTTATCAGTTGGCGTCAGAGACCGTTTTGTCCCAGGAAAAAAATTGTTGGTCACACTAAGGTCACTTAACAACTGAATAAGCTTCAGAAAGAAAGCACTGCGAAAAAATATCCAAGCAACTCATTAACTTCCAAATTGTAGAGTTAACTTCCAAATGGTTCTTAAACATAACTTCCTCATTTTGTACTCTAAAAATATAACTTCCTTATTTAATATCACTTACTTAGATATTTGTACTCTACAATGTATTATTTATATTGCATACTAAAATAATTAATTGGGGGGAATATAAAATTAAAAGGGGGAAGAGGGATCTTGGAATTCCTTGCTAACTCAAAAGACAAATTTGGAAGTTAGCAACCAATTCCAAGTCCCCTGTTCTCCTTCTAAAATCTATTGTTGGACTACACGGGACATATAGGCATATTTTCAAACAGAGGAGCATCCTGTTCCCGCAAAGAGGCTGCCCAGCCATAATTCTCCTACTTGGATGCTTAGAGGAATTCTTAGGGGTTGACATCCACTCATCATAAAAAAGATGTGGACACTCTAGAAAATGTGCAGAGAAGAGCAATAAAGATGATTAGGGGACTGGAGTCTAAAACATATGAAGAACGGTTGCAGGAACTGGGTATGAAAAGAAGGACTAGGGGAGACAAGATAGCAGTTTTCCAATATCTCAGGGGTAGCCACAAAGAAGAGGGAGTCAAGCTATTCTCCAAAGCACTTGAGGGTACAACAAGAAGCAATGGGTGGAAACTAATCAAGAAGAGAAGAAACTTAGAATTAAGGAGAAATTTCCTGAGAGTTAGAACAATTAATCAGTGGAACAGCTTGCCTCCAGAGGTTGTGAATGATCCAATACTGGAATTTTTAAAGAAGATGTTGGATAACCATTTGTCTGAAATGGTATAGGATTTCTTGCCTAGGCAGCGGGTTGGACTAGAAGACCTCCAAGTTCCCTTCCAACTATTCTGTTCTATTCTATTCTATTCTATTTTGTTCTGTTCTATTTCTATTTCTAATTCTAATTCTTTCCTGTCCTGTCCTGTCCTATTCCTATTCCTATTCCTATTCCTATTCCTATTCCTATTCCTATTCCTATTCCTATTCCTATTCCTATTCTATTCTATT